GACAGATACCAAGAAGGACACCCTGTATTGTACAGAAAACTCTTCTAAATACAGAGACAGAGACAGAGACAGAGGAGGAGGAAGATTTAACTCATATTATACATAAGGCAATTCCTCTTCTTGCAGCTAATTTTGCCGTCCAGTTTACAAGCATTACACTCTTCCAATTAACCCCTCATAAATTAAAATTAAAAAAAAAAAATGAATCATCTTTGCAATAAAAGTACAGTTTCATTATTAGCACAATGGATTTGCTGGGGTTTCGTAGATATATATTATGACTGTAAGCAACAAAGCGATGCTGTACGACAGTGAACTAAGAGTTAACACTTTCCACCAACCCTGTGCGCATAGGGCAAACCCTTTGTCCCCACGTCCAAGATCCAGATAATGTATGTCTCTACTGTACATGTATCTTGGCAGCAAAAAAAAATCCACCCCGATCATTATGAAATTTGCAGCAGATTGACTTAATTGAACGTAGCAATCGGTTGTACACCAAAAACGGAATTAAAATCAGAACTAAAAACTGCAAGTGGATAATTTGATTGCCTCTTACTTGAAGGACGTCAAGTCACAAGCCCTGTAGATGATCCGGAAGGGACTATCGAAGCCCATGTACCACCTCCATAGCTGTAGGGGAGAAAAGAGGCAAAAAGTGATCATATGGCTTCATAAAATCATCATCATCATCATCATCATCATCATCATCATCATCATCATCATCATCATTGTATAAAAAAGGTATTAAAACAGTTAAGACCTTGTTGTATTTCCAGAAAATATGTATTATACTCAGTTCGTTCATCATCATCAAGTGAAATATCAGCGACAGACATCAGCTACCATGGTTCTCCACGCATTTCTTTGCTCAGAAATTTACCCTGATCGTTCCCCGTTACCCACCCGTTTAGTTCCTTTTCAGAACATAATATTGATGAGTTATACAAGCTCATAGATTGAAACCTAACTTTGTATTTTAAAAAATGCTAACCTGTGCATAATATGTTCAATCAAAACTTGCTGCGGATAAAACAAAGAACAAGCTTACGAAATATGAGTGTTTATTTATTGCTGAAGAGAATAGAAGAGCTTTTTTTTCCTCCTCTTTTGAAAAAAAAAATCTCTCAGGGGAGAGAACACAACTAGGGCAATAGCGTTCTGCATTGGCGCAATTTTCTCCCTTGTACAGTTTAAAACGCTCTGGGTTATCTTTTTATAATATTGTATAGTTTTAGTAGAGGTTTTACGGCACTTGCAACTGCATAAGGTCATATGAGTGCCAGAAGATTAGAGGTGTTACAAGAGAGTAACAAACATAAAAAAGAAGGAG